CGCCAGCGCGCCCGGGAGAGCGCCAAGCGGCGGAACCGAAAGCAGTTGCAGGTACAAGACGTCGTGCCACCCCCTGGGAAAAAAGAAGCAGCACCCCGAACATAAAGGATCAGAGACAGGGGGGCCCAAACCCTATCCCTGCCCCCCACGATTGCTGGAGGGGGAGGGCGGGGTTCACTTCGCGCGGGAGCTCCCGAAGGAGATCCCCCCGCCCTGCCCCTCAGAAGCCGTGGGGGGGGGCAGGGGGGGGGTTCGCGGGTGGCCCCCCCGAGAGGTCCACGCGGACCTCCGACGGCCTCTGCGTATGCCGCTGCTCTGCCGCGGCCCTTCCTGCCCCCAGTCTGAAGGTCGGGCGTGTCCCCCCCTACAGAAGGGATTCTGGACGGAAAAGACAGAGTACACCAACAGGTTCTCAAGCAGAGCCAAACAAGGCCAAAAACAACAAACAAACCAATATCCCCAGATTATGTGATGGACTCTCTTTGAACATTCCTCCTGCAGAGGGGCAGGCCCGGCCTGTTCCTGCCCCCAGTCTCCCCCGTCGTCCGACCCGAGACGAGGCAGCTCGGCGCGACGGCCGCCGAGAGGGGGCGCCGCGGCGAGCCGTGGGCCCGGCAGGCTCCCGAAGAGAGCTCGGGCCCACCCCTGGGCACCGGCGGAAAAAAAGCTCGGCGGGCGGAGGAGTGGGGGCAACCTCTTCCTCCTCCTCCTCCTCCTCGTCCTCCTCCTCCTCCTCCTCCCCCTCCTCCTCTTCCTCCTCCTCCTCCTCCTCCTCCTCCTCCCCCTCCTCCTCTTCCTCCTCCTCCTCTTCCTCCTCCTCCTCTTCCTCCTCCTGCTCCTCCCCCTCCTCCTCTTCCTCCTCCTCCTGCTCTCCTGCTCTCCTGCCTCTCCGCCGCCTTCCTCTCCGCCCCGCTTCCTGTCCTCAGCCTCCTCCGACTCCGCCTCCGCCTTCCCGCCTCCGCCTCCGCCTCTCCTCCCTCCCGTCCTCGCTCGTCAAGTCGCCGTCCTCGTCACTTCCTTATCCTCGTCTCGTACTCGTCAAACGTCCTCGTCCTAGTCACGTCCTCGTCCTCGTCCACGTCCTCGTCCACGTCCTCGTCCTCCTCTTCCTCCTCCTCCTCCTCCTCGTCCTCATCTTCCTCCTGCTCCTCCTCATCCTTTTTTTTCCTCCTCCTCCTCCTCTCCTCATCCTCCGCCTCCGCCTCCGCCTCGCCTCCGCCTCCTCCTCCTCCGCCTCCTCCTCCGCCTTCGCCTCCGCTCTCTACTCCGCGTCCTCCTTCGTCTCCTCCCCTCTCTTACTCATCCTACTCCTCCTCTCCTCAGCCTCCGCGCCTCATCGTCCTCCTCCATTCCCCTCCTACGCCCCTAATACTCTTCCTCCCCTCCTACATCTCTCCTCCTCCTCCTTCTCCGCTCCCCTACACGTCTCATCATGATCCTCCGCTCCTCTCCTCCCCCTCGCCCCGCCCGCCTCGCCTCCGCCTCCGCCTCCTCCTTTCCTCCTCCTTCATGCTCCTCCTCCTTCTGCGACCTCCTCCCTCATTGCCTTACTCCTCCTCCTCATCCTCCTCCTCCGCCTCCTCCTCCTCCTGCTCTCCTCACCATCCCCTTCAGCTCATCCCCTCCTCCTCCTCCTCCTTATCTCCTCCTCATCCTCCTCCTGCTCTTCTCCTGCTCCTCATCCTCCTCGCTCTCCTCCTCTACTCCGCCCTCCTCCTCCTCCTCCTCCTCCTCCCTCCTCCTCCTCCTCCTCCTCCTCCTCCTCCTCCTCCTCTTCTGAGGGGCAACGATAGGGGGGGACTGGCACAGGGGGGGAGGCATCGACTTGGAATCGGCGATGCATCGTCGATAGATCGGCGATATAGGCCCCCCATGGTGAATCCGCACCTTCCTGGGCGGGTTGGGGCTACCAGACCCCTATCGGCGATCAATGGGCGATTGGGGGTCGATGCATCTCCCCCCCCCCCTGCCTGTCCACCCCTATCGTTGCCCCTGAAGAAGGGGCCACGGCAGGCTCGTGTCGCATCGACTTCGGCACTGGCTCCTGACACCGCGGGGATCGTCCAACCTTGAACGATCGGCCTCTTCCGAAACGTCAAAATCGTTCCACATCGAACGATTCTGGGTCGCCCGCGACGTTCAACGTTGAACGCCGCTGGCGGGGTCGGGCATGTCCTCCTACAGGCGGGTGTTGGGAGAAGAACAACAAATTGGCACAACATCTTCAAAAATTGTCAACAAAACATCGTCAAACAAATCGGCCCCAGGCTATTGTTTGACTATCCTTGTAGATCCCTCCTGCAGAGGGACGTGCCCGATCTGGCGCTGTGCCCTGCGATCCCATAGAGCGTGTCGGCTCTGCGGGGTGGGAGGCTGGGATTAAGTCGGGCCTGTCCCCCTACAGGGGGATCTTCTACGAAACATGAAACAAAAACCCAAAACATAATCAAACAATAGTCCAACAATAGTCTGAGGACTATGTTGTTTAGTATTTCTTACCTCTTTCGAATAGTTTGTGTTTGCATTTTTCGTCGAAGATCCCCCCTGTAGGGGGACACGCCCGACGCAAGGCTGGGAGAGGGCTCCGAGGCGTGGACACCTGGCGACCGGGGCGTGGCTGGCGCGCCGCGCCGCCGCGGGGTGGGCCGGCACCGACAGTGCGCGCGCCGCGGAGCCGGCGCTCCCAGCCAGAATCCCGGGGCAGTGATCGAACACCTGAAGACCTCCTCCTCCTCCTCCTCCTCCTCCGCCGCCTCTGCCTCCTGCTCCTCCTCCTCCTGCTCCTCCTCCTCACCCTCCTCCTCCTCCTCCTGCTCCTCCTCCCCCCCGCCTCCTCCTCCCCCCCGCCTCCTCCTCCTCCTCCTCCTCCTCCTCCTGCTCCTCTCCTCCTCCTCCTCCTCCTCCTCCTCCTCCTCCTCCTCCTCCTCCGCCTCCTCCTCCTCTCCTCCTCCCCCCCGCCTCCTCCTCCTACTCCTCCTGAAGCCAGCGCTCCCTGCCAGACTCCCGGGGCAGTGATCGAACACCTGAAGGAGATGATTGAACTATAGAAGCACTCCTGATCTCATGTCGGGCCTGTCCTCCTACAGGGGGGGGAGTTTCGACGAACAAAAAGAAATGCCCCAGAAATACCCCAAAAGGGTTTAAATATACTCCAACAATAATCCCCAGACCATTTTGGGACTATTGTTTGAGTATTTTTGGGATATTTTGTATTTTTCGTCGAAAATCCCCCTGTAGGGGGACAGGCACGACCTAATCCTAATCCTGTGGGAGGGGACCTGAATTAGGAGGGCCAGGGATAAGGGCTCTTCTCTGCAGATGAGTCGAATCAAACCGCCCAGAACTACGATCCCTAATGCAAAGACGGGGACCTCGGTGAGGCCAGGTCTTCACTGTGCTATTGGGATTAGGGGCTCTTTTAGTCTCGAGGAGGAGAGGAACGTCAACCATTGACGGCGCGCACAAAGGGTCGGCACGAGGGGGGGAGGTCTTCTGAGGAAGTGTGGGGAGCTCCTGAAAAGGTAGGGGTCTGCTCGGAAACCCTCCCAGCCTCTAAAAAGCCTTCTTGGAAGCATGTGGGCCCTTCGAGGAGGCCCCAGACAGCCCCTGAGCCAAGGCATCCGACGATGCAGCTTGTTCAGTCCCCTGCCCCAAGGCTCTAGTAGACCCGCTCCCTGGGGAACCGGGCCCAAGGGAGGCCGCAGGGGCTGCAATCGAGGAAGAGCGGCGGGCTCGAAAGAGCCTGCGCTGGGGAAGCCAACAGTTACCGAGGCCGCCACTGCAGTCCTGGGACCCTCTCCCGGGGTGCGATCTGACCAGAGTTTCGAGGCAAGTCCAGCGGTGGCGACGAGGGCCTCCCAGGAGCTAGGGTTCCCAACTTCGCGCTTCGCGCTCCACGAAGCGCGAAGCGCGAATAACTTCGCGCTCTCGCGCCGCCCCCCCAGAGGGAGAAGAGGAGGACGAGGAGGAGGGGGAGAAGGAACGAGGACCGCGAAGCGCGAAGCGCGAATAACTTCGCGCCCTCGTGGGAGCCCTTGGTCCAGCGGTGGCGACGAGGGCCTCCCAGGAGGCCCAGCGTGGCATGACCTGGGCAGGCGCAGCGGTGACGTGGGCACCTCGTTCCGCGGCCCCCCGCAGCAGGCCGCGCCCCCCCTCGCGGCCGCCCCCCTTGGGCGGGCCGCCAGAGCCATCCACCAGCGCGGGCCCGGCCAGGGCCGCGGCGGGCGGATGGCCGGCGCCCCCAAGAGGGTTGGCCCATCGATGCCCCTGCCACGCCACCTCCCTCCCTGCCTCGCGCACAGGCATCCGACGAAGCGAGTTCTGCTCAGTCGCGGCGCTGTCCCACGCTTCCAGCCCCTGGCCGGGGATGCACTGACCCAGGTCGATTCCAACTCAGGTCAGCCGCGCCTTGCAAGATCCTGCAAGATCCATGAGGATCCTGCAGGATCCTGCGCAGGAGGAGGAGGAGGAGGAGGAGGAGGAGGGGGAGGAGGGGGACGAGGAGGAGGAGGAGGAGGAGGAGGAGGAGGAGGAGGTGGCTCTACAGGATCCTGCAAGAGCCCCGACATGTGGACCGTTCTCGGGCCCTGGGCCATCAAAGACGGACCCAGGACGTCAAGCTGCCCCCCAGGGAACGGGGCCGGTACCTCTGGCGCCGCGGGCTGACAAGATCACATCCACGGATGTCTGGGCACCCTCGTCGCCTCCCTTTTCCCCTCATTCCCATCCCCACCTAAGACGAAGCCAGGCCGAGGACCAAGCCAGGTGAGGATGAGTCGGGAATCTCTGAGATCCGGCGGCTCTTGAGGATGTCTCGGGCGCCGCGGTCTGCTCAGAGCATCCCAGAATGCTCTGGAACGGATTGGTCCTCGTCCTAGCCCCGTCCGACCCTTCCTCGCCCATTCCCATCCCTGTAACCCCATCCGTCTTCACTGGCTCATCCCCACCTGGAGGCTGGGCCGCACAGGCGTCGCCCGGATCCCTTCGCGTGACACCTGCGGCTACTGCATGGAAAATCGGTTGGCGCTGGACTGGGGCCAAACTCTGCCGCACAGCTCGCTCAGCCAGAGGCTTGCCGCGCACGGACCCAGCTGCTCGCCCCCCAGCGGGGCCCAACCTCTGCCCAGGCGCTTGGTGGCCTCGAAGGTCGCGTAGCTGGCGCTCACCGCGGGAACCGTCTTCAGCAGCGCAGGGGCAAGGCCACGCCACATACCCCGGACACCGGAGTCCCTGTGTATCTGCTGGACCGGGCGTTGCCAGAAGGTTCCCCAGCTCAAGGTGCCCCTCCAGCGCTCCTCGCACCACGCTGGGGTGCCCCTGGGGTCCTCTGGGCCTCGCGGGGGTTGCTCTGGAGGCCACTTGGGCCTCCCTGGAAAAGCTGGGGCCACCTTGGGCCAGAAGCACCACTGGCAGCACCCGACTGGAAGCAGTGCAGCGCGCTCGAGAACCTCACGGGCCTCCCCGGCATGCCTTGCGCAATCAGCTTCGTCCTGACGACCGTGAGCGGGTAGGCCACCACGGCGCCCGACGCGCCCGCGGCGACGCCGAGGCCCAGAGATACTGGGATCGGTATGTCGTGCGCCGTCCCCCCCTCCATCGCAACGACGCTGAAGTACTTATCCTGCGGCAGAGGTCGGGTTCGGCAACCAAAAAACGAGATAGATGCCATATCAGGGAGATGCCGCGCTCGGACTTGTCTGCAATCTGAAGCCCTGACTCCCCCCGGAGGTCAAACACTAGTTGGTGAACCTCAACGGTAGGACCCCACCCCACCACGATGGAGGCCTCAACGAGTTATTTCGCTTTCTAAAGCAAGATAGGGGCCAGCGACTGTTCGGCCCGCACCAGAAAATCATGCCCAGACTCCATTTGTAAGGCCATTATCGCCTGTCTTTCTAGAACGCCAAAAAGGAGCCACCCGGTCTTGACCAAGGTAAAAAATAGAGGAACACAGCTTGACCATGAGGAAATAAGCTGAGAACCCCACTATGAGGATAACTTCGGCGACGTATCGAAGTACCCCACATCTCATCCCTCGATGGCAGGCACTACGAGAGCTAAAAGAAAAGCCATGGGATGAAGAGGTGCATCATATATAGACGTGGACTTTGTCTGATGCGATGATCCCAAGAGGCGCGCAAAGTCGCGCGCACCTAGCCAAATAGGACAGCGCTGCCATCAACCAAGACAGCGTCGGATATAGCGTTCGCTAAACAGCCTCACCTTAGACCTCGTTTAAAGCCGGGAGGGGAGAGACCGAACGCTATATCCAAGTCCTGATTAATCTAATCAAATAGAAAGGGAGGCTAGGGATACTCTTTTTCAGACAAGCAGCACTAAGCATTAAGGCCGGTCATGGCGCATGGCCACGACCAGCCGCACACCATCATGGGCAGTCACGGGCAAGACCGCGTGACTACCCATAGACAACTAAGGGGGACGCCCAGCCAGTGGGCCGGACGTTAAAGCGCGCAGCGTGTGAGGGGACACGACACGGCAGTCAGATCCCCTCACAAACTAAGAGAGAGAGAGAGAGAGAGAGGAGTGCCCGTGCCCCGGCACTGAGTATAGATGATTATAAATGCCCATGGCCGGGCGAGGGTAACTACTTGTAGATATACATGCCCGCGTCGGGGCAGAGATAACTACTTGTCTGCGTTTAATTCGTCGTCCTCTTTGATACCCGCTAGACCTAAAATAAGGCCCCCCCTACGCTGGCGCTGTGTCTTTCTTACCCCGATAGGGCACGTATTTCTTTACCTCGCACCTGAAGGACTGATTGCCCTTCATTGCTGGCAGCAGTAGTGCACGATCGATACGCCCCTCGGCATGGCCGTCAGCGGCCAGATCCCGTGTATCACACCACAGTACGCCATTAACAATACCTAGTCCATCATTTGTCTTACCCAACTGATGTGTCTCAGCAGGGTACCTTCGGTCGGCCTCGTCAAGCCCTTACTTGACAATGATATAAACATCGGCTCGGCGCCCATCGTAAAAGATGGCCTTAATGCTGGGGCCACCTAACTCCAGAACGTTGTTTAGCCGAGTGGGCGCTAGGGGTCCAGCTCCAAGCTCATGCAGCGAAACAATGGAAGGGTAGCAGTTCTCAAGATTATGAGCGGCTGCCAGCGAGCCAGCTGAATAGCTGGAACGCGCCTGCAAGCGATGCGATTTGCAGTACGCATCGATCAGATGTACTACTGCTTTGCAATTAGGCGCGTGTCTGCGAAGTACACGGTTGGCTCCTCGGGCGCCATATCCCTTTACCTCGCCACCTTCGCCCCCACTAAGGTGACGATGTCCTGGGACACTGTGACGGGCCGCTTCCCCTGTCGGAGTCATGAACTGATACGTGCATTAATGTCTGTGGACCTCGCTGAAAGTTTGCGCGCGACGGCGTTAAGTCTCCGTGCTTGGAGGTTTGCGGGACCCCGTGCACGTTGCAAGGATGCCACGCGTACCATTCTGGGTGGTTAGTGCATACGCCAAAGCACCACGTAAACTGGTGAACATGCCTGACACGGCCTTCCGCTACAGCGCCCGTAAGTTCTGGGTGCTGCATCTGGCGAAGCTGTTTAATGCATTCAGCATGATCTAGCAAAACGCGGCCGCCCTCGGTCTCAGTGTAGCACGCGGCGCAATAGGTGCAACAGTGCTTCTTCAATTTGCATGCGCCAAACGCACACTGTACAAAGTTGACGCACTTGTTCACGTTGTCCCCCGCTCCTGCCACGTTCATGTGATCGACGCGCTTGGCTGGTAAGAGCCTTGGGCCCATCTCGAATCCTTCATCGCACGACGCAGGTTTCAACCCGAATCGTCGCGCGATGGCCCTGAGCTTCAGTGAGAATGCCCCAGGGGCGTCTTTGGCGCCTGCGTCTGGCCGAAGACACTGCAGAGCGCGCTTCGACTCGTCATGGGGCGGACGACAAACTGGGCAACCACGCGGCGCCGAGGCTGAACCAAGTGGAAGAGCAAAACAGACCCCGCGCTTTCTCCCCGGCGGCTTCTGCCAACTCACGATAAGCAGACCTTTCAAACACACAAAAAAAAAAAACGCTGTCGACATCGATGGATATCATGATCCATTGTTTCTTGCGCGCGGCCACGCTGGCGAGCAATCTCCAGGTGGCCCGACGTCTGCGCCCATGGAGGTCTCTACGCCGAATGCCTCAACCTCCGCGAAGCCACGAGGAACATGCCGCGGTCGCATAGGTCGCCACATTTCGCCTTTGTCGTGTCTGACAAACTTGCCCTCCTACATATATCTGGAGATCATGACGTTGGCAACACTATCGATGCTCTGCTTATTGAAGCATGTGTCACCACACCTTATTTCGACTTCAGTGTGCAACGCCTTGGAGCTCTGCGTCGGTTTGGCCTGCGTATCCGCCGCCGTCAAGGTCGACTTCCTTGGCGACCTCAGCTCTTTTAGCTGCGGCTGAGACATACACGCGCGTTGTGATTACATGGGCGCTGCGTAGAGACTCGCATTGTTGCTCTGACAGAACAACCTTAGCCATGTCAGTAGTGAAGAATAAATCAAAATACTGACCGCGGTGGTCCGAATCGGGATCGCGAGTCTCGTCGTACTCTGTGGCCCAAGATACCGGAAAGGTTTCGGCGGTGTCCCGATTCCGAGCCTAGCCTATTTCTCGCATTCGTTATTGCTCCTCGCTTGGCCACAGCCACGAGCGCGCGGCTGTCTGCAACCATCTCGGTGAGCACCGAGCACAGAGACTCCCATGCGGGGGTCTCAAGCAGTTCCTGTTCCCCTTGGAGCTCTACGCACCACATGTCCACGATGTGCGATTCCAGATCCGATTTTGATCCTTCAGAAACGGTCGGTAACCTGCCGTCAAGCGCGGCCGCCGCTGGGGGCCCTTCCCACTCCCGGGCGTGGCCGCCCGACGCTGGCGCGACCGCCAGATCCTCGAACTTCGAATGGTCCTCAGCAAGACCCTGCTAAAAGTTTGATGACTTCAAGCACTGCATAATCCGTGCGCGCGCAGTTCCAGTGATGTCATGAAGGTTAAGACAAGACCTTCGGATACGCAGTAAGCGAAGCCAGGCGCTACGTCGTCGTCATAGCACGCCAGAGTACAGCTAGCAGCGCAGGGTGCCGCCGGTGGCCCGTGGATGCTTTTAGCAAAACGTACCGTTACAACGCTTCTATCCTAAAGTAGTGTCCGATGAGGAACTGCAGGGTTAAACTTACCTTGGGCGAGAGATGACTCGCTGTAGTCGTCCGCAAGTTCCCTTGCACGGTCGGCAAATGGCCCAAGGCCACAGCAAGTTCCCCCGCAGGCAAGCTCGCGATAATGGCCAATGCTTTTCGCATTGCCGTAGTATCCGAGCCGATCTCGCGGACCATTAACACCGCAATATATGATGCGCGTCGTAAATCTCGGCAGTGCACCAAGACTTCCCGACCGCCGACCTGCGCCACTGCTTGACCAAGGTCAAGGTATACGGACGATGGGGCATGGGCCGTTCCATGCACCCGAGTCGTCCTCAGTAGTGGTCGGACGGTGGTAGTCCACGAGATGCCCTGGCTGATAGTTTTAGCGTCCCGCTGCAGCCGTCTTTGTGCGTAGGGCTATGTTGGTTTTAGCTACTGCAGTGGCTTGTGCAGTGGCCTCAATGCGAATGTCTCGGATCCTCTGTTGTCGGTGGCCATCGGACGCTCCCGCCCCCTATTGGTTGTTCAGTACCGGTGGGTCCGCTAAACAAACAGGTCGGTCGAGGCCCATGCAGCGCTCGGCATGGGACACCCCGTTGTAGAACGTAAAAGCACTGCAGAGAAATAAGCCTTCGTGCAGTAAGCACGCGTAAAGCCAATGGGATGTTGTGCCGCTTGATATCTTCGCGCGCTTCGATGGCAGCCGCACGCTGACCTCGGGCGCGAATACGGAGTTCTGCGCCGACGGATTTGGCACCATCATTGTTCAGAGCTCCTTCAATGTCGGAGCAATCCCTTGGCCTGCAGCCCAGCGAATGGATCGGTCGACGATGTTAAGCACGGCACGTTATGTGTATTGCATCCAGTCGCACCCGACCTCTTCGTTGAATTTGGAAGGGGGACCTATTGAAGACAGAAAATATTACCAGGTTTCTCCCAGGGTCTGCACTCACGGCATTGATGTTTAGTCGTACATCAAATCCTACGCGCGAC